ATACATATTTAAGTACTAAACTAAAGGTTTAATTAAAATTCAGTGAAATAGAAAACTAAACTAAGCACGCTAAATACAAAATACAATATAAATTTTACATGTATATGTATGCAGTTGGTTGGGATGGTGGCTTTTTTTTTAGAATATATTTCATAGTTTTTGAAATTATATACAGCAAACAGTTTTTAATTGCAGTTTTTCTAAGCAACTTAGGTTTTTTGAAATGTATTAAGCAATGTATGCAATAACAGCTGTATTGGAACATAGTAGATAGTGTGTGTAAAATGGATTTTAGTTTTGTTAGAATTTAAATATTATGCTTAAACTTGCGTAAAGTGATGCGTGAAGTTGTATATGTATTAGTGTATGCAGTGTTTTATGTGACAAATGCATGTTTGATGACGTTTTTTTTCGAAGCTTGTTGTGAGGTTGATTAAAGTGAAGAAAAAATCCCAAAGAGAGCACAGTGTATTTGTATTACCAAGCACCCTTTCGCCAAATCTTCAAAGCATGCTTATTGCTTTTACAGTTAACGTAAGCCAAAATTGCGAGAACAAATGGTACTCGCCAAAAAGACCTCCCGGGTAGGTCTCGCGATCAGTTTTACGTTAACAAATTGACGCCGAGACAACGCGCTCAGCATTGTAATGAAAACTTGCGCTTGAACTATATGATTATTTTTTCACTCCAATGCAGATCCAGAGCAGAAGGAAAAGCGTTTTTTCGTTGTATCAGCATTCAAGTTATCCAATTTGGAAATAACAAATTCTCAACTTGATACTAAAAATACATATTTACTTTACATTCTCCTCACTAAAACATATAACATATTTTGAATTTACGTCTCTTTTTTAATATCTTCATGCATGTAAGATTAATGTGAAGATAATCGTTTTCAATTTCTGATAGATTTGAGATCAATTAGGTTTGCAGTTTATTCTTAAGCTTCGAGAGCGCTAGACAGACAGACTGCATTGCTTAGCAAGCAAGAATTGAAATTTGTTTATGCAGCATCAAGCGTTGTCGCTTAAATTTATAGCCAATTAGGAACTGATTTTGAACGAATGAAAATCCATAACGCAAGTGTCAGGGGCAAATGCATTTTGCACGCTTTTAAGTACATTGAAGTTGGGTTTATTTTCCCCTTTACTTAGTTATACTAACGCACAGTAATCTTTTTGGGATTTTCATAGTAGCTGTAGCTATATAACTCGCTTGTTTTACGATTTTCATTACTTTTATGATTTTGTGTGGAGAGTGTTCACATATTTTTTACTTGTATCCCTACTCTTACTTGAGCAGAGCACCCTTAACATATGAATTTATGTAAATACATATCTGTGCTATATATGCAGCTGATGTACCTGGCTTGTATGCATATACATATGTATGTGTATGTGAGTACTCGTTTGTATGTATGCATAATGTTTTATGTAGTATGTATTTCGTTTATGTTGTTGTCATGTTTGTTTTTTTTATCTAAATTAAACGCAATCAAGTCGGTGGTTTAAAAATTCTAATTCTCATTATTTTTAATTATTGTTATATGCATTTTTTCATTTTCCTGTGTGTTATACTCTATTTAAATATATGTGTGTGTATTAGTTTTTTAGTTGCATTTCTGTTGTTTTTTTTTTTATCTTGCTTGCGAATCGGTTATAAGTTAACACATTTGTAGAGAATCTTTTTACCTTTTTTCACTACATCATTATAACGATGCTCTGCTTAATGCTTAAAATTAATTAATTATGTATGGTATTTTCAACATATTCATTTTCTTTGCTGAGTATAGGCGCCTGAACTTTTGGCGCAAAATTAAATATAGTTTGTAGATAATAACGCGTTTCATGCGCCTTCAAAAGATTATAATAATACTTAATATGGGCATTTGTTTAACAATTGCAAATACACAATTTTTATATTTTCTTTTTTGTTTTTGTTTTTTTCTGCTTATACACATATTGCTGCAGTTTCGAAATTGACAAAGTACTGTTCATGCGCCGCTAGCGCGTATGTGAACGCGTTGTTTGCAGCCGCCAAAAATGCGCGCTTTAAAAGGTTGCTTTTATTTCATATTTTCATTGCTTTGAGTCTCTTATAGCTAACTAAATGTATATTTGTATGTACTTCTATTTTTTTAATTTTCATGCGCATAGCACTGCATCTTTCTAGCTTTTAATATCTACTCTTTGTAGAGTTTGTCTTTTGTCAATGCATTAACTTAAATTTTTTGCCCAAAAACTCTCTTAAATTTTTGCGAAACTTTTTCTTTTTCCTTTTTTTATTTTGTCTTATTGAAATTTATTAGTTGGTGTTTTACCTAACAGCAGCAAAAACATATACGTATATATATAATTCTCAATTACTGTCTTTAAGCAATTTTCTTTTCCATTTCTGAGCGTCTTTAGTAAGTATTTATGTATTGCAAACGAGCATTTTAATTAGCGTTTTCTTAGATTAAGAACCTAGCGAAGAAGCACATGCGCATGCGCATAACATTTTAATTGTATATGATTACTAAAGTAACATTAAGAATAATAATAAGCATTTTATACACATTTTTAGTGTTTTTTTTTTCTTCTTTAAATTTTTTCTCTTTAATGCAATTCAAAATAATGTTGAGAACGTAAAATATTGTTGTAGTCAACGTCCCAATAGATTAACAAATTCTTCTCCCACACGCGCTCACACACGCTAAACACACTTGTATATGAATGTATCACAAATCGTTGTAATGTCGAAATGTCACGCGTCGCAAACGCGCGCACACCCACCTCCAGTTAATCTGTGTCTGTTTGGTGTCTACCGTTTATGCATCTGTGAGCATTGTTGATATTCATTTCATATTATTAATATATAGTATATAAATATTTTTAAGTTAAGAGTATTTCATTCTGCACTCTCCATTTGCTTAAAAATTTCCCATTCGATTGTTTGAACAAACGACGACTGCCTTTACTAAAATGTCTCTTAGACGTACATGCCCATGCCGTACATTTGACTCCAGTCCACACCCTGAAAGCTGGACATGTCTACATTGGTTAGCGTATAGCTTTGATATGGATTGCCTGCATTCAGTGCATTACCAGCGACGAGTGCCGCCTGTTGTGCGGCGGCTGCTGCCAGCGGATGATGTGCCGTTTGAGCGCCATGTGCGCCCGCTTGGCCACCATGCGCGGTAACGGCGAGCGCATTGTGTGCGCTCTGTGCGGCGGCAACGCCTTGCGTATTGGCGGCGTTATGTTGCTGTGCTGCAGCAGCGGCGGCAGCATGGGCAGTGTGTTGCTGTTGAGCGGCGGCAGCAGCATTCACATGCTGTTGCTGCTGTGCCGCAGCATGTTGCTGTTGGGCTTGCACCAAGGCGTTGGCGGCAGCGGCGCTTGTGGGTATGGGATAGGGTGCATATCTGTGGGAAATTATGATAATTTAATGAATATACGATGAATTTTTTCTTTGTTGTTTAATATGTTTTAAATACACACCTGACGCTATGCAAGGCCTGTGGATATGTAGCAAGCAATTTGCCAAAGCTAGCTGGATTGGCGGCAACCGCGGCGGCGGCGGCGGCGGCATTTTGTACTTGGAAGGGTGACTGCGAGATGAGCGCAGCTTGCTGTGCAGCAGCGGCTGCAGCGCCATTGGCGGCATGCAATTGCAGTTGTGTCGGCGCTTGCAACATAGCTAGTGAACTCATGGTGGTGACGCCAGCGCGTGTGCCAATCAATTGACCCGGTGTGGCCGGTATGGGCACACCCAGAGTGCTCAGCATTATACGTTTCTGCAGCAACTGTGCAGCAGCTGGTGTAACAGCCTCCTTTGGCTGTGCTTTCTTGCATTCGACCTTCTTGTTCTTGATGGTGTGGAAATGTATCTCACAAACACGATCCACAACATCCTCATTTTCGAATGTAACGAAACCAAAACCACGGTGACGCTTTGTCTGTTGATCCATCAGCATGACAGTCTCTTCAACGGTGCCAAATTGATTGAAATAGGCTTTCACCTCATCGGCAGAGGTATCTTGCGAGACGCCACCAACGAATATCTTCTTTGTCTTATTAGCCTGACGTGGGCGATTCTTCGGTGTTGCATGCTTGGGATCGATCTTCTTGCCATCAAGTGTATGTATGGGTACCTGCAGGACTTTGTCGACGCTGCAAGGCTCTTGGAATGTGATGAAACCAAAACCGCGACTACGCTGTAAGCCAGAATAAGGACAGTAATGTTGAACGTGACGACGAAGAAAGAAACCAACAAAAATTATATTAGTAAACAAGTAAAAAAAACACGTAATATATATATATATATATATATATACATATCTATACGAGAGCTACTAATTTTCAAAAAAATACGTTTTTTTTTAAACATTTTCTGCAACTAATTTCAACTAAATTGTACAACTGTAATATGCAAAAGCAATTTAGGTTATGTAATTCAATCAACACTAGGCAATTTATCCCTTTTATTTTATTGTGGTTCTCAAGTAATTTTAGACATACGAGTAAGTATAATTAAATTGCAATTATACATTTCAATGAAGTATCTATACATAAGTGTTTTGATTTATTACGAAAATTGTATTTATGTATGTAGTATGTGTATGTCTGTAGATAGGAAAACTAAATCAATTATTTGTACTTAAGAAAATCGCTATGATTTATTAGAAGTAGAAAGCGACAATAAAAACAACTTATATACTTATGTATTGGCAGGTTTAGATAATATCAAGTGGTCAACTAACTCAATCATAACCTAGACGCACAATCTATAAAATACACCAAATTTATACGAAACTATGTATGTATGTATACCTATGCAAAGCGATTAGTGAACTAGGATACAAAAAAACTGACTCAAAAATTGTGAGCCATTCAAGTCTTATCATCCGTCTTCTAGTTAACTAATCGCAGTCAAACAAGCATTAATATTAATGTTAATCTATATGCATTATTTCACGTGATTATGTAAAAAGGAATTATTGGATAAATTGGGCAGCATACATAAAGAGCACCCGCATATGAAAAAATTTATTGGTTTTTCGCGCTTACGCTTATTCAGATAGATTGAGGATGATAGAAATAAGATTTGCAAAAAAACAAAGATCGTTTATGAAGGGAAAACGGACTTATAGCGAAAAAATTTACCAAAAAGAGTGTCTTTCTTCAAAGACCAATATCGTCAATTTTACTAAAAAACATTTTGTTCATACAAACTTGTCACTAGCGGGGTTTCGAGCTGTTTAAAGGAAATATTTCAAAACTAATTTTTTTCAATGGGCCTAATAAAAGTATTTGGAAAATATATTTTATAAAGGCACGATTGTGGCATGGCGCGGCAACCTTCGGAAACCACAGATCCTCCAAGTTTTTTATGTCTGAAATTTCCGGCCATGAAAAATCGCTTGTCATGCCTCTGTACCGCTCACCGTTGACCGAAATGGGATGTCCAGTACCATTTTCAATGAACAATTGGCCAATTATGGCAATTAATGTGGCTTCTCGACGATCACTTGCGGCGTTTCCGATCCCCAGATGGGTCAGTTTTCCTAAACAACATACATAGCCGCTGAGATGAAAATGCCCTTCCGGCAGAAAAGCTGATTTTTCGAGCAATATCATTGTCCATTTCGAGCTGCTCGAGTTTGCATTATTTCCCAACGTTGTTCAAGCGCAAAGCGATTCAATTTCGTTCGGCGAAGATATGGTACTGGCTTTCCATTAAGACTTCCAACGGAAAAGAGGAGTCACGTCACTGCACTGTCGTTCCCACGACAGTCGGGTCTACGTAACCGGAACGACCCAGATTTATATCTGGCCAAGGACTGTCACTCCAGCAACACTCCCCAAAAAGTCTTTTGGGAATTTGTATGCTGCTACAACAACAACAACAGTCACTGCCAAAATAACATATGAGTAATAAAACACTCAATGCACCACCCTTTATGTGCTTTAACAGCTCAAAGCTCCGGAAACCGAAATTGGTCGGGCAGAGGTTTGTATGAACAAAATATTTCTGGTTTAATTTACGTGAAAATGCTCTTCTTACTAGAAGACATTGATCTGTAAAAACAAGCACTATTTTTCGATAAATTTTCGTGTTTTAGATCCAAACTGACTGGATTTCTTTGCCCACTACAAATGATCAGTTTTTTTCTGAAACACTTATTTTTCAAGCCCGATCCGCACGAAAATGCGTGGGGAACGAAAAAATAAGCACTTTTGCAAATTCAATACAGCTCATGGGTACTCTACGTACTAGTATGTATTAAAGTACATATGAATGTAATATTACACCGTGCCACACGTGTCAGTTTTACACATAAAAATAACAATGGCCGTCATTCATAAAATGTGAGCCTAAGCTCCTACTCGATTTTCAGTACAAATTTTTGAGCTTTTAGGCTAACTTCACCAGTGCGAAAACTGCGTCTTGAAATTTCAAAGATACGATTAATCAAAAAAAAAAAAAGTTGTTTTAAAAATTCAGTGCAATGTCTCAAATAACAATATGGATAACAAATGAAAGAGAAAATTAAATTTTTTGATGCATAAAGACGAATAGGTATTGAAAATGTCCTTTCAAAATTTTATGCTTGAATATCCTGAAAATTTTCGATATTTATTTTTGAAAAAATTAATTAATTAAAAATTTTATTCTGCGAAATTTCCTATTTCTTTTTGTTTGCTAACCACTGAACTGAATTTTTGAAATATTCGTATCTTTAAATTTCAAAGACCTTTAAATAAGCCTGATGCTAATGAGAAAAACTATAAAACGCAGTTTTTTTATATTAGGCCACTATTTTCGTGAAAAGGTATAAATATTAATTGTTTCGTGTTTTGATCTTTTATTTTATTTTATTTTTTGTCGCACGGTGTTATACAAAGGGCGATATGTTCATAGACACGATTCTTTTTCCAATTTCGAAACGCTAACAAATTTAAAACAGAAGCATATTATTTCCATACTAAATTGTATATTCATTGTTGGCGTGTTTTTTTTGTTTTGTGTGCCGAATTTTTTTGTTGGACAATATACATACTATAACATGTTTACTAAACAGATAGATAATTTTAAAATAAACCAGTCCTAATTATAAGAACATAGCAATAAGAGAAAAAAGTCAGATATTTCTGCGGTAATAGCAACTTTTCTTAAGGTGATTAAATACATAAACTACGCCTTAAGAGTACTATACTTTAGTTGGCGTTTTAGAAATAAGTCAGAAAATAAAACAAAAAAGTCGTGTAATTATAAAATTTTGTAAGTTTCCCTATTACAAACTAGTGGGACCTCTGGACGTACTAAATGAACACAAAAAAAAGAAAACAAATAACAGCACTTTTCTAAGGAGGAGGGGCCTACATTTTTAACAAATTAGTTGATTCAAGTAGTAAAAGTGAACAAATTATTGCTAAAAATTATTCCATACAAATTTTATGCACACACACACACACACATTCGCACGCGCACGCTCAGTAAAAAATAACAAAGAAATTTATATGTATGTATGACCACAGGCGAGCCTGCAGATAAAGGGGCCGCTACCATAACGATTACGTGTTATATTTGCAGAATTTTTTTCAACAGTTTGTATGTATTGATAATTACGAAAATCATAGCTAAAATTATATGCTATAGGTATAGTTCTAATGCCTAATTTACGCTCTAT